TAAAGTTTAGCAGAAAGCGCGTTGGAAGAAATCGTGCTGATGATTTTATTTATTTTTAGCAGCTTTACCTTTAGAAGTTTGCCCCTCAGACTCAATGTGTATGCCAACAGCTTTGATGTGTGCTTTATTAGTTTTATCTCCAAAGGACAGCGGGGAGATTAAGTGGAACTCAATCTCCCCACACCTCTGCACCCCCTAGCAAATGGCTGTGTTCACCAACACTATCATTACACACATTACATGAAAACTGGAGAGTAGTGGGCCTTATCATGTCATGTTTTCCAGATAGCTATAGCTAACAAGACATAAATGTGGGAATGGCAGGGGGAAATTGTCTCAAATGAAAATAGCAAATAACACCAGTGTCTTCTGCAGTTAGCAGTGTGATCAGTGCAGCTCAGTTGTTTTCTTCTGCCGTACACAGGTGCGTTGTAGAGAGAGGCCTGCAGAGAATTGAGCAATTTATTAGACATTTTTAAAGTAATAGGTAGTCAGCTGGACGTTGATTGAATTCTTGTTTATTACACAGACTCGGGCTATTCTTTCCTGAATTGTACACTCATCTCAAAGGAGAAACATACATTCTTAATCTGAAAAGTCCTTTTTTAAACAGTCTCTGTAGATATTTTTCAGCCGGCCAGGCTCCTCTACCCTTGCACTTGTCAGGCCCCCAGTCTATTACATTCTCCTCCTCTTCTAAAAGACGGCAATTAATCTAATTAGTAATCAATCAGCCGTTGGGCCTCCCGCCTCCTCTGTGCTAATGGAGGATATGACAGGCCTGGACCTTGCATTATTAATACCTCCATTCCTGGAGCCCAGGGCCCCCCTGACGCCCGCAGCCAGGGGCCATTGATCACTACCACAACCCAGTGAACACTGCAAGGCCTACAGGGAAATATCCAGAGTAGTGGGAGTGGAGATGGGAATGTGGCGTGTCAGTCTGTGTGGGATGAATCTGTTTAGGTGGCTTTAGGGTAATTTTGGTAAGGGAAGCGTTTTTGCCAAAATTGCTCAGGGGAGGTTGAATAGCTGCAAAATTCCAAAAAGCGAGATGTTGGCTTGGTGGTGCATGGGGTCTACAGGGAGGCTCATGGTGCACATTTGAAGGAGATGAGGGATCGTATGAGTGGTGTTAATAGGAATGTTGTGCTCCGAAAAGCTCATTTGGTTAATGGGGCTCACCTCAAAACTATTATGGCAGGATAAGGGGGCCTCTCTGTGGGACTATTTCTAGAAAATGAGATTAGAAATTATAGGACGCCACTAACACTGGGTCACAATGATCGCAGTGTGACAATGAAACAATCACGGCAACATTATCCTTCATCTCCCATGCGTTATATGAGCACCCATTCTAATAACCCCAGCAGCTGAAGTTACGGAGCTGGATAACAATCCCACCAGCTGATCTCATCCACTAAAATCGATATTGGAACCTACTCTGTGCAGGCTTGGGGGAAAAAAACAACTGAAGAAAACAACAAAACCTCTTTGCTCGTGGTTAGGTTTTGCTTTGCACATTCGATAGACAGACACAGGGACCTCCTGTGTCCTCTGTAACTGAATCTGCTAACCCTAATTCATCGAACCTCTGTGCCAGCGGCTGTTAATCATGCTGGTCATCCAGTCTACATGTTGTTTTTGAGGACATGCTGTTAAGATTAATTCAATATCAACTTTCAGATGAATCTAATCATTATATGATCATATGTCCAGATTCATGATTTCAAGCACATTTCTCTCTTTAACTCAGTGGCCTGTTTTGCATTATGTTACTGATTTTGTACGAGTTACAGAAAACTTAGCAACAGCAATTTTAATAATTGAGTAATTGTTTGTCATTTTTACAATCTCAAATGCAGAAGAATTCCCATTTCTAGGTATTGCTCTAAACTAAATCTCAGAGTTGTAGACTGTCGGTTCGATGAAGCAAGCTGTTTGAAGATGTCACCTGGGCCTTTGGGAAAGTGTGGGGGTCATTTTTCATTATTTTCTGACATTTTATAGACCAAGCAGTTTGTGGATTAAGCGAGAAAATAATCTGCAGATAAATCGATACTGAAATCAATCATTAGTCGCAGCCCTTCATGTACAGACAGGAGAGAAATTATAGAAAAAACCTAAATAAATGTTTAGAGGAACAAATTCAGTTGCTCCCATATAAGGCACAAGGAGACACATGGGATGGTTTGATCAGCAATGAAATAATGTGACCTTAGTAGCCTTCAGTCAGATCTCAACCCAACGGGGAAGAAATCCCCAAATTCCCAAAAAAGGGAATATATTTTGGAAGAATGGTGTTCATCCTTTCAGCAGGGTCTCATAGAATCTATGGCAAGAAGCATTAAAGTTATTCTGGTAGCTAGAACCTCACTAAAACATTTTCAACTGTATGTCGGCAGTATTAACAGTGTGATATTGATTTTGACATTATCTCCCAGCCCTATTGATGGTGATGATTTTTGACAAGAAGAACAGCTGCGGCCTGTCCACAATGTGCCCGATGTGTGGGAAGGTGGAAGTAAGTGGTCGGACGTTGTGTGTAATGGAGCCTAGTAATCTTTACAGTTTCAGAGCTGACATCACTCTCTTAACTCCACCAGGCCACTTCCCATGACTAAGACCTGGTGTCATTTGGCACGGCGGCCATAACCTTTCCACTAACCAGGCACACATTCTGTCTTTAGCAGGCCACCCCCCCTTCTTTACACCACACAGGTTAAGTCACCATAAGCCAGCGTGCCAAGGCTGTCACACCGCTCTGTTTAATTTGCAGAAGGCTGAGGTTGTTAAGTATTTACAGGCCTTCAGTGGCTTTATGAAGCCACGATGGGAGTTGGTGGTTGTGTTGAGCTCACAGCAGCTGCAGTCAGCTGCCTCATTCAGGGGGGATTGGGAAAGCAATGCAGCTCATCTGCTGCGCTGTGCGGGTGAGTCAGTGAGCTGGACATGCTTTATCCATGGCAATAGGATGTGAGGAATCACTCTGTGGTCACGACCAAAATCCCCACACCACCACCTCCCCACTCCCACCTCATTTGTGTGCCATGAGGGTAAAGGTGTATGTGTGTAACTGGAAAAATACTGCATAGGAGGTAAGCTTACAGAAAATCCATGGAACACTTGCCATTAGTCACCACTGGCCATCAGAGACAAAGTGTGTATGTGCGTGTTTGGGGGTTGCTGAACTTGCACGAATGGATTTACAGGAAGTTCCATCTGTCATGAATTCTCTTCTGTGTTGATTGTGGTTTTTCTATAGGGAGGCTGGTTAAAGGATGACAGTACAGTTGGTGAAGCGAGCTAACGACAGAGCAGCGCTGGTGTAAACCCCAGCTGTGCTGCATGAATGAGTCTCTTGAGAGCAGAGATGAGCTTCGGGCAAATGAAGAAAGTTTTGAAAAGTCCAAAAATATTTAGTGGGAAAAAAGTTACCAGCAAACATGATAAATGATAAGGGACCTGTGAAGCCTGTAAGAAAATAAAAACGCTGTTTGAGTAACCAAGACAGCTGTAGATGAAGCTGAAGGTTAAGATGAGTTCGAAATAAATGCTCTTTCTGTTTTGAGCGTTGTTTTTATTTACAGCAGATGTCCTGAGGTACATTAGTCCTGCTACACAATATTTTGTCCATATTGTCAGTTAGGAAAACAAGTTTTGGATGTAGTGCCCACGGAGTTTACCATAAGCGTAGGCATGTTAAACCACATGGTGCATTTGGTCTACAGCAAGATTGTTGGCACTTTGTATATGGACACAAAGAGTGTGGGCGAAGGTTTGGCCATGGAAACTGAATAATCATAAACTCGTGCTTTGTATATATTTGTTGTCAGTACATAGAGACTTGAACAAATGCTTTGATATGTTTTTATATATTTCAGCACACTTAATTTTGATCATACAAAAATCACATCAGGTAAAACACAGTTATACTGGTATATGAATACAGACATATAATTATGATCATATTAAGAAGGAAAAGCTTGTTCAAACATCTTTCTGTGGACGCCATGGCTTTTCCTATTGTCGCCATGTTTGGGCCTGTAAGCAGCCACAGCCCTACACATCTGGCTCTATTTCTGGCCTCTCTGCTTGTGTTAGCTGTGATGTTATGACAGCAGAGTGACTGAGGAGATAACACGAAGAGGACATAGACCCTCTCTCCATTGGGGCTCTGCGGGTCAGTGACCTCGTTTAAGCTAAAGAGACACAGCCCTGAGGTTCTTTTAGCAGCGTGTTTGCAGTGCAGCTGTTCTTCTTTGTTGTTGTCCATTCTTATGTTTTTTTCTGTTTGCTTTCACAGGAAGTTTGCTGAAGACTGAACGTTCTTAGAGGGAGACCCTCAAAGGGGGTTTCAACCCCTGACACCCCACCATCCAGCCCATCTTCAGAACCCCACCTCCTGAACCCGCCCTGCTGAGGTCACTTCCTGAGAGAAGTAGGAGGAGCCAAAGATCAGTGGATTGGTGGACCGTTGGACGTGACAAAACCTGTCTGTAAGTTCAGTTATGATTCCTGTTTTTTGCTTTTGTTCTTTTGAGCACCTTGTACACACCTTAAATGCTACCAGTTTATTTTTTTGTTTTGAGCTTTGAGCTTTTCTTTGTTTTTTTTTGTTTTTACCTCGTTATGGTTTTGGGAAAAATAAAAACACTAGACTTCTCGATCAGGGATCAATACAGCGTCTCAAAATAAGCCTACTATCATTGTGCTTCTGGTATTTGTGCATGGCAAAGATCAATGCATCTCCAGGAATCTTCAATATATTCCGTAAGAAAAAAACAACAGACTCAGCTCATCAAGATAACTCTGATAACTGATTTGACAACTTCATGACAACATTAGCAAACAACTGAGCTCCACCCATTTTAACCCAGTGAGTAGAACTCCGACAAAAACACAAATACAGCAATCCCTTTTAAAACATAACCAAAATTGTATTAACTTTGGCAAAGAAAAATGTGTTCATGTCAGACCCCGTCACCCATAGCAAGAAGTGGATTGAGAAAATAAGAGCCTTCGTGAAACAGAATAGCATTTGATAGTATTTTATGAGCAGATCCATTTTACTCCCTTCTAAAATGTATTATTTTATATTCATACCAGCTTGCCCACATTGCACAATTGAAAATTGTACAAAATGAAACCTTTTATAAAAGCTGGCTCTTTTCTAATTATATTTTTTGATCCTGAGTCCTGAGTCCACCTGATAAGTCCAATATTCACTCTCTTCTAGCTCTGTTTTGGTCTCCTGGGGGAAATATCTGGCTCTTTAGCTGCTGAATGCTCCACTACATGTTCACCAGCTAGTCGCTAACTTTGACCGTGTGCAGTTTGCTACTGAGCAGGTACAGTACAGTTGTTCTTTAGAGCTTTTTCACTTAAAACAGCTGCTTGCTGTGGTGAAAAAACGACGCTATGACAACAGTGAGAGTGAACCAAAACAGTAAAGTCAGCTTAACAATGAGCTGAAACTGACTCTAAAGCTCACTAAAGCTGAAAGGAGCTTTAGATTTAGGCGATAATTCTGTTTCACATTATCATCTCTGATTATAGGCGCTTTAAGTTAATATATTCTTTTGAAGTTCTGTCTAACATTTCTCCTGGGTTCCCATGTTTTGTTCACACTCAAAAACATATATTTCACGCAATACTGTGGGTTGTTGGGATGAATGTAGGAAATAATTACTTATTTGTGTGCTATGATTTCAAGTTCACACCCTATGAGGCTCAGATTGGCCACCCTTAATGGCCTTTCCCTATTACACCCATACCTGATTGTATAAGCCTGTGCAGGTCGGGATTTTGAAGTGTTTTTCCAAAGTGGCAAAAAGACTCAAGAGCTTTAATCACAGCTCTGCCTCACGCACACAGGTAGACAAATAAACAAGTAGACATACTTTGTGTAACAAAAAGACATTGTTGTTCCAGGGTTAACTGAGGCATTGTCCCCATGAGCTCTTATTTGCAGCAATTTGACAGTACAAATGCTCACGGTGGGCTATCTCTTTATTCATGTCCCCTTTCAAAACACCACTATTGTGCTGTGATCCCTCTTTTGGCTGGCCGTGCATATGTGCAACACAGGGCCATTGTGGAGTATTGTGCGTCGTGCAAAGTGAATGGAAGCCCATCACTTCTGCATTGCTCTCTGCTGACAGCGGGGAAACAATACATGCTGGTTTGGTAAGACGATTGAGTATATAGGAACGAGGTGTTGAACTGCAACGCTGGCATCATGGTGGCATGAGAGCCCTGATGTGGACAGCCATTTTCTGCCTGTCATTATTGATGACACAAAGACGTATCAAAGGGGGTGAAATGGGACAGAACGGCAGTCAATGCGGGTGAACAGGCGTGAAACATGATCAGACCGCTGAATTGAATAGAGGTATTATCGTGCCAAAAATGTGAGAGAGTGAGTGAGACGGAGGCAGAAAGAGTGGCATTGCTTTCATATTTTGTCACCCACTCACTTGACAATGCAGGCACAGTGTCCTTCCCACTATAAGTGAAGCATAGTTTGATGCATAGTTTGGATGTATGAACATTTGTTCATGGCCCACATGCTTTATGGGAAGGAACAAAAAAGACCTTGGTGTGCCAACCAAAACATCAGAAAGCTCTTGGTAAAAACCTTCCCTCTGTCTCAATTTACTCAACTGTACAAGCACATGCACTCAATTAAACCCTCAAACGTGCATGATATGATTGATGGCCACTTAGAAGTTAGTATTTTGCAACTTTTATTTATTATTCTCCAGGATTGTTCTTTTTATAACACAGTAATTGTATTCCACACCCCACCACCTCTCTGCAGGAACCTAGTTTTAGCACCTGTCATTTCAGCTACCAAATTAAGGAAACATTCCTCCAAATATGTGCCACACTGAGAATGCAGCTGTCTCAGTTTGGTTTTGTAATTTTTTTTAGATCATTTTCTTTGGTATTTCTGTATTTATTCTTGTGTGAACGATTGGCAGAGAGAGAAGACTTGTGACAAAGGTCCCGGTCCCCACTAGAATCCAGGGTATTGCAGGTATTGTGGTCTGTACCTGAGCCAACTGATTCACCAGGCAGCCCCCTGTGTATTCTTCTCGTCTTTGCCCTCTGATAAACTCCAGTTGACCTCTCACTGTTAGCCCCGAGGGCTGCAGTCTTTGTCAGTGGCCTTATTTTCTCCGTCTCTCCTTTTCTTCCTCATGTTCCTCCCTGAGTCGTGCTCTTGCTCAATGTTAAATGAGGGCATGGCCACACTTGGATGTGCTGTGACAAATTGGCACAGAGGAGGCAGATGGTGATGGGGAGGAGACTGGTTGTCATGCCATTTGCTGCAGCGACATGAATTGATCTCTGTGCCGCAGAGCAACCACACATGCTCCACTTGTGTAATCCTGACTTTGGTTACCCCACATGCGCAAACGCACACAGCCCAGCGAACTCTGACACACATGCCACCATAGACCAGCCCCCCCCCCCCCCAGCAAGCCTCATGGGCTACAAGTTCAATCTCATATCACACAAAAACAGAAAAATCATAGATAATAAACACACATGCTGACATAGAATAAAAAAAAAATCACAAATCAGGTAAGATGGTAATCTCTACCTCACTACAGGAAATAAGAAATTGTGGCTCCAGGATCCCACCAGGTACTCCATATATACAATAGCCATTACATCCCTCAAGATACAATATCAGACATCATACAAGATAGAGACACATACAACAGTAATATACAAAGATACATACACACATCATAATAGAGAAATGGGGG